ACCACAACTCCTCACACAGCCTCAACTGGTGAACCCACACCAACAAAAGCCAAAGACCCTGACGCTGAGGTCTGCAGTGGCAGACCCTTTGATTCCTTCATGCAGCTCAAAAACGGTTCTATATATGCATTCAGAGGTAAGTGGCTTACAGCAAAGAAGAACAAAAATGTGAATATTATACAAAATTATTTTCTATTTCTTTTTGGCTCATTTTTTGACATAAAAATGTACATACAATGTATTTAGTACAAGTAAAATTTTTGAAAATATAAAACAAAATGGTTAGGGGGCAGCGTTATTTTATTATCATTGAGATACCATTAGTTTTTATTCATATTTTGATTTAGGTATTATTTTTATATTTTTAATTTTCTTAGTTAAAGTTGTCATTTTATTGTGTTTTTGTCATTTTTATTAGTTTTTTTAACATGTCTATATAGTTTTATTGCTTTGTATTTCAGTTTTACTAATTTAGTACATCAGTTAAACTAAATTAAAATAAAAAATATTGCTGTTAAGAAAAAACATTTTTATTTTATTTCAGTTAAGGTTTATTTTATTATAAGTAACAAAAATGTTTTTTATAGCTTTAGTTTTAGTTAACTATAATAACCCTGGAAAGTAGGTAAAAGGAAAATAAAAGATTAAACAAAAAAATATGTATTTTTAAAATGTACTGTTGTATTACTGAAATTATAGTGTTATGACAGATAATTATGTGTTCTTCTTATTATAGTTCTTTCTGTATTTATTTATTCTTTTTTACACATTTTGTTTCTAATTTAAAATGTGATATGTTTGTCTACGAGGACAATATTTTTTTGAGCTTGATGAGAAATTAGTATTACCCGGGTACCCAAAGCTCATCGAAGACATCTGGGGAATAAAAGGTCCAATAGATGCTGCCTTCACTTCAAACTGCCAAGGAAAGACATACATCTTCAAAGTATGGATGACCTCGCATTTATATCTATTATAACATAAACCATTTAGAATTTCTAGCATGATTGTAAATGACAATATGTTTTATTATTCCCAGGGTAAAAAATACTGGAGGTTTGAAGATGGAGTATTAGATGAAGATTTCCCACGAGAAATATCTGTGGGATTTCAGAAGATACCAGACCATCTGGATGCTGCCTTTGCCATTCCTGCTCACAGCCATCATGACAAAGAGAAGGTTTATTTTTTTAAAGGTTTGTGCTTAACCTAAAGAATACATCTAGATTTACTGACATGTTCATTTAACTTTACTAAACAAAGCATACGTTCCTTCTTTCTAGGAGACCAGTATTACCAGTATGAGTTCAAGCACCAGCCATCCCATGAGGAGTGCATTCAGATGTCATTGAGATCTCCCTCAGCACTCTTCTGCAGATACACTAATATTTACTATGACCGATGGGTTGAGCACTTCAACCAGCTCTTTGGTGGAGGTAATATTTTTTTAGAGGAAGTTATCAAAATAAATTGAACCTTAGACAGCTTCCATAACTCCGCTTTTAATTACTTTCTTCCAGCTCACAGTCATCATGGTGGCCATCACTTCATCAACAAAGACTGGATTGGAATCAAATCTCCTGTGGATGCTGTGCTAGCCGGCAGACTCTACATCACTCCGAGATGGCCCAGCAGAAGGCATCAGGACAGAAATCGGCAGAATTGGGACCAGCAGTGGGGCCAACGGTATGGGCAGCAGTGGAACCAGCGTTATTGGCAGGAGTGGGACCAGCAGCGGGGCTCCAGGCGCAGGCAGAATAGGTCACCATATTGGGAGACTATGGCAGAGAGGGGCATCAGTATTGGACAGGAGTTTGCTCAGAGGTTTGGGCAGGACAGGTGGCGAGACCAGGACAGACGCAGAGACTATTATCATAGACAAAATGACTATGATTATGACTACAGATACAGACCTTCTGAAGACATCGCCTATGACATACTGCGCAGGAGTCAGCCTTTACAGAGTGTCTACTTCTTCAAAGGAGGTACTTATATGACATGATTATTCTATTATATTATTCAAAGGAGGAACTGAAATCAGCATGATAATTTAATATTATATCCAAAGTTCTGTCATGAAACTACATGGCGCAGGCCGATAGGTTTTAACTCAATCTGATACTATTACATCATTCACATGGCGCAGCTGATTGGTTTTATTTCGTATCAGCAGCCAATGAGCTTGCTGCTCAACATTCAAATACTCAGTTAGTGCTTGCAGCATGCTTCAGAAACCCTCCACCTTCCCCAGCTCCACCTGTGTGGTTAAATGTGAGCTCAGGATCATGATGAGAGACTAAAAACACAGCGTAGAACATTAAAAGTCTACTTACATTCACCAAAACACAATCTGCAAATGAAAACAGGCACATTACCTGTAACCCTAGGCAAACCAGATGACCAAAGAGTAATGCACGGCATTGCCGAACCCATGTTGGCCAGCACAGTATAAACATGATGCTTCATGCGAACCGCAGGACTGCCATCTCCAACCGCCACTCTAGAGGTCAGATTTAGCAGAAGATTTTCTTATTGTTTGATAAATAATAAAACAATTTATATCAGCTTTCAAATAACAAATTCATACCCTTCCTTCCCTTCGACGGGCCGCCCACAACAGCAGCAGCAGAACAACAAGGCAAGAATTAAAATGCACAAGGGAATCAAAAGCCCTGCTAAGAGACCTGCCCTGCTACCTAGCAGACAAATCCAAAAAAACGGATGAGAGGGATGCGGATACCAGCTGTGAAAACCAAATGTGGTGTCTGGACATACTGTTTGGACAAGCTCCTGTGGCTGGATGGCAGGCATGATTCCCACAGTCACATGCCACGGAGCAGTTGATGCCATATAGGTTAGGAGGACATGTGCTGTTACAGCTACAACAGAGATTGAACAGTGAGGGAGACTTCTTTGACTCTTACACCAAGGTAAAAACAACCTATAAATACCACTGTACCCTCACCTCTCACCCTGGAAGCCAGGAAGACAAATGCAACTTCCTGTCACATGGTCACAGTGGCCGTGATGGCAGGTTTTACACGGGAAACGACAGCCGTCTCCGTATGTACCATCTGTGCAGGGTTTGTCACATCTGTAGAGAAGGAGAAGCCCAAAATAAAGTCAACTAAAAGATGTCGAAATCTAAGGGAGCTTAGCAGGTAGAAGATTCAATTATACACACAAGAAAAAAAATATATGTACACTTGCCCCAAAACGTGTTTAGGACACATAAGTCACACTTAAAATGAATTTCATTGCTTTAGATGATAATGTTTCTTAGACTTTAAATTAGGTGTTTGCATATTTTCCAATTTAGTTCAGTTCTGATTCACAAGAGCTCAATTTGATTCAGAGTGTCATGATTCAGTTCCTATTAATTTGGGAAATTTTCAGTTGTGATGTCAATTTTTCTTAAATATGAAAGATATACTATCTCTAATGCTGTAAATTATGCAGTGCAGTGTTTCAGACTGGCTCATAAGAGTAATTTATTTGTGATTTGGGACACTGGTTGCACTGTATTTTATTGATTCACTAAAAAGAACCAGTTCAAAAGAGTAATTCGTTCATGAATCAGACTACATTGGTCAAATGTATTTTTTTGATTCACTAAAAAGACCCGGCTCAGAGTCATTTATTTGCGAGTCATATTGTATGTTGTTGTTTCATTAAAAATAATTAGCTTATACGAGTAATTTGATTTGTGAATCAGACAACACTTTTCACATTGTAAGTCAAATGTCTATCATCTAATATGATTAAAGGTGGGGTATGTATTTTTTCAAAAACGCTTTAGAAAACTGAGTGGGGCCAAGTACCAAAACAAACACCGAGGTTGCTGTTTCCTCTCGATAGGTGAGTAACATTGGTTTTGCTTTATTTCACAGAAATAACATATGCTGGCTTTTGCTTGAATATGCTCGTGTGTCATAATCGTTGCCTGGGTTGCGTACGTATGTGTGAGGCGGAGCTATCAAAATAGGGGCGAGACCCTTTTGGGGTAGGGGCGTGTTTGTTTTGGTGATTTGAAATATCAACATTGGCTACCAGAAATCACTTACCCCACCTTTAAGTGCAGCCATTCTTAACTGCCCTTTTTAGACCTCTGCAGTTTGTCATGGTATATAAGACAATAAGGTGTTTCCTTTCAGAACTGAATCCCAATAGATCTGTACCTTGGTCCAGTCCAACCAGGATCACAGTGTAAGCACGCTCCAGTTTCTGTGTCACATGGGTCCATGTTTCTGCAACGCGGACAAATCTCTTGGCAGCGATGGCCATAATAACCTGCAGGACACGGCTGGTCACAGCGAGTGCCATTCCACCCTGGTGCACAGGCATCACACAGGCCGTCCTGTTTAGAGCAAGACCTGCCTCCTTCACAGTGTCCACAGCTACATGCACACACACAGATATAAGAGCAGAAATCATGGATGAACTAAAAATTCATGTTTACATGTTGTGCTGAATAATTAAACAAGCAATTTTAAAGAAAATTGTTAAAAAGTTAAAATGCTCAAATTAACATAATTGCATGCTTTAATAATCTCTAATACTTTCATATCAGTGTTAAATCTTCTATACTAGAACAAATGTGTTCAAAAATTTGGTGTCAGTACGATGAAAATGATAGGATTTATTTAAAGATTTTTTGAAAAGCTTACCAATGCTGTATTTATTTGAACAAAAATGCAGTAAAAACAGTAATGTTGTAAACTATCATTACAATTGAACTGTTTTCTATTTCAATATTCTTTTATTTTAATATTAAAATTAAGTATAAATAAATAATAAATATATATCTTTTCTGTTATGGCCAGCTGAATTTTCAGAAGCCATTACTCCAGTCTTCAGTGTCACATGATCCTTCAGAAATCATGCTAATATGCTAATTTGCCACTCGAAACATTTCTTATTATTATCAATGTTGAAAACACTTGTGGTGTATAATATTTTTGTAATACATTTTTTTTCAGGATGGATTCATTGATGAATAGAAAGTTCAAAAGAACAGCATTTATTTGAAATAGAAATATTTTGTAACTACATTAATGTCTTTCCTCAATCAAATGCATCAGTCCTGGATCAATTTAATGCACTCTTTCTGAATAAAATCATAATCAACAAACTAATCCTTTAATTTAGAATTTTTACTAACCTTCTCCTACAGCCTCTGCCATACTTTCCACTGTCACAAGGCTCATTGCAAAAAGGCTCTTTGTAACCCGGGTAGCACAGACAGGTGCCAGTTTGCACATCACAGTCGGCATTGCTGAGATTACAAATGCAACGGCGATCACAGGATGGACCCCACCAGCCATGCAGGCACTGACAGGCCCCTGTGCGCTGCTGGCAAGGGGACACATAGCAGTTGCATCGCAGGCTGCACTTTTGGCCCCAGTAAGCTTCGTCACACAGGCAGCGTCCCGTGGCTTTGTCACAAGTGGATGTGGCAAGGTGGCACTGACAGGCTTTGGAGCAAGTGGACGTCCACCAGCCCTCCTCACAGGTGCAGTTGCCATAGACAGGGTCACATTTCCCATGACGTCCACATTTGCAGCTGTTTTGGCACAGGTTGCCCCAGCGGTTGGGCAGGCACGAGCACTCACCAGTGACTGGGTCACAGAGCCCATGAGGGTGACAGGGACAGAGCTCTCGACAATCCGGCCCCCAAAATTCAGGAGGACAAGCTGTGGAGAATAAAAAATTCAGATCCATAATAACTAGATATGCATACTACATGTATAGTAGTCAACAATATGAATATAGCAAATAACATAAATTATTTGCGACATATATATATATATATATCAGAAAGAAACATTTATCCAGTGTTGTTTTGCCAAAGATATTTAGTTCTGGTCCTCAAATTTGATTGGCTGAGTGCTGAATACAGCAGTAGTTTGCAACAAAATAGTGTCTTTATGGGTCATTGAATCATTTATTCAACCAATATGTTCAAACACACATGAACGTCACTACTGTGTGTTAGTGATGAGTGCTTTGAAAGCACTGATTATTTCTGAATCAGTTTGCTGCTTTTCTCTTGCTAAGTCATGTGATTTTAATAAACGAGGCAACCATCATTTAACTTGTGACTGAATGTCTAATCTTTAATGATTTTAAGTGGTCTCAGGTTAGTTTTATAATTTAGGTTCATTTTTAATTCATTCAATTAATTTTAATACTTGATGCATGTACAAAAGGAAATAATTATATTTGATTGATTCTAATTGCCCTAGTAGTAACACAAGGCACCACTCATTAATAAAACAACACACATTTTACAGAAACTTAATGTTTAATACTTTAATATTTAATTATTTGTAGACATTTAATAGATTGTACTTTTATGAAAACATTTGCAATTGTTTTTTAAAAGGTGGCAATGAGTTTTCTTTGCATTTGCGCCGTTTTGACCAGCAGGTGCCACTAGTCTGTGTTTCGCGCGTTTCGAATTCGAAATAGTGAATCAGTTTGCAAAGAAATGTATTCAAAGTTTCGGAAAGCTTTGTTATCGGATTCTGCTTTGGATTAGTTTGTAGCCTAACTATTTTGTTCGTCTGAGGAAAAACTGACAAAGTAACTGGCATAATTGTGTCTAAAATGTAAGTTACTCAATATTAAATTATTGTTTATATAAAGCAATATCAGGCTTGCTCGTGCAGTATTGTTTGGATGTCTAACCTCAAGGCCAGACACAGTTGTACAGTTGCAAAAGGCAGTCCTGAAACCAGAAACCCAAAGTCCAAACGATATTACTCACGGGTTTTGCACTGGTACCCGTAAAATCCAGGTTTACATCGACAAAGTCCAGGATAAACACATACTTCATCCTGCAGACAGGCCCTTTCTCCCTCACAGAGGGCTGAGATAACAAAAAGATACTTTACACACAACTGAAACCCCAGCTTAAAGGGGTCATATGATGCTTTTTTAAAGATCATTATTTGGTGTAACAGAATATGTTGACATGCTTTAATGTTCAAAAAACACATTATTTTTCAAATACTGTACATTATTGTAGGTCCTCTATGCCCCGCCTCTCTCAAACGCTTCGTTTTCTACAAAGTCCCTCCTTCCGACAAGCGCAGTCTGCTCTGATTGGCCAGCTGACCCAGTGCATTGTGATTGGCCGAACACCGCAAGCACTCGTCGGAAATGTAACGCCCCTTACCATAATCGCGAGCTTCATCTTTCAAAATAAATGTAAAGACAGAGCCCAAGGGGAACAGAGTCGCGTGACAGACACAGTGATGAAGCTGGTATGTGTTTGCAGTACACAAGCCACGGTTAAGACAGCTGACTCCACTGTGATGTGAC